GTGTGTGTGTGTGTGTGTGTGTGTGTGTGTGTGTGTTTTATATGCTCCTATGCAGACATGGATAGCATTCTGCTATATCTCTCTCCACCTTATTCTGTAGGGGACAGTAAGCCACGCCTGTTAGAGGCTGGCTACAGGTGTGCCTGACCACGCCTGTCAGGGCGTGGTGAAGGTGAGGTCAGGATCACACATGATGGGTTCTTAAGGGACAGAAAAGCACATGGGAGCCCCTTCTCTCTGGCCTGGCTGCTTGCTGCCCCTGGCACACTCTGGCTTGCATTTGGCTGGTGTATATCTTAACCTTACAGACTACTGGTCATCTCATAATATTATTCCTTTGAAACAAGATTTCTCACTGAGCCTAGGGCAACCAGAAACCCTAGTGACACTTCTCTCCTCATAGCACTGGGGTTTACAGGTGACACACCTGTTTTGAAGTGGCTGCTGGCAATAATGAACTCAGGTATTCATGCTTACAGAACAAGGGTTCTTACCCACTGAGCTCCCACATGTCTCTTCTATGGTAAAGAGCATCAACTGACTGGGAACTTTTGATTTAGGCAACCATGGCATCCAACACACTAAAACAGTATGGAAGACCCAAGAAGTTTCTTGCTTCTCAAAACCTCCATCTCCTCCCCTCTACACCCAGGTGCCACTGCGCAAGTGCTGGGGCTACGGGGAAGAGACGGGCACATGGATATGGCAGGACACATCGCTATGGCAGGACACACATGGAGTGACGGGCTGTGCTGCCACTGCAACACTGAAGCATTTTAGGCCCTGGCCTGCCTGCTTGGCTCTTGTTGTCCCAGGGCTCACATTTAAGAACCTCAGCAAGCCCTGCAACCTGTGACCAGACAAGTGGCCATAGAAGATTGCAAAGTGTCTGTGTAGAAGACACACATCACTCAAGCTGTGAGAAGGGGCCTCAGGCTGAGTGAAAAGACATGTGCCTGTAATCATAGCACTTGGGAGATGGAAAAGGATCTGGAGTTCAAGGTTAACTTTGGATACATAGAAAGCTCAAAGCAAATATGGACTGTGGGAGAGAAACACTGCTCAAAAAACAAACCAAAAGGGATCTGAAATCTTATGGTGGGGGTAGCAGAGGAGCATGTGTTCCCAAGTGGAGAGTCAGGCCTGGGTCCATTGCCACTGCCCTAGGCAGGGAGTCATACAGCAACATCTTCAGATCACAAGTCTGTGTAAGTCACCAGAAGACAGTGGACAGCCACAAAATGTCTCTCTGTTCTTGGCCAAACTCTAGGGTTTGGCGCGTCAGGCAGTGTAAGAGAAGCCAGGCCATTCATTACCCGAGCTCCTGGGGCCACAGTCAGTCTGCCAGGAGCAAGACAAGTTATTAAGAGAAGTGTCCATGTGTTCATCCAAGGCCCACAGCGTACAAGGTGAGATAGTGGCCAAGGATGAAGCCTGACCCGCCCAGGAGCTCACAGAGGACAATCATGGTAGAATGCGGCCCAGGCCATCTGGGGTTCCCAGGTCACAGTAGAGAGATTTAATAGATCCAGTTGATTGATAGTACTAGTCAGTCATCTGTATCCTTCCTGACCACCTAGTCCACTCTCTGTTACCAACAGGGTTGTTTGATCTTTTTTCAAAACAGGGTTTCTCTGAATAATAACCCTGTCAGTCCTGGAACTCACTCCGTAGACCAGGCTGGCTTTGAACTCATAGAGATCCACCTACCTCTGCCTCCCCAGTGCTGGGATTAAAGGCATCACCACCACCCAGTGGTTGTTGGCTCTTTTAACAAATTTTTTAAAAACATTTTATTTTATGTACATAAGTGTTCACCCGAATTTATGTCTATGCACCACATATCTTCAGAGTTCACGGGGGGTGGGGGTGGGGGCACAAGAGGGTATCATGTCCCTTGGAACTAGTGTTACAAGCAGTTGTGAGCTTCCAGATGGGTGTTAGAACCCTGTTCTGCAATAGTAGCCAGAGTTTGGAACTGTTCCTAAAGCCTCTCTAGTCCTCTAATAACAGATCTGTGCTTCTAGCCTTTCTGCTTCCCTTCTCTCTATTCCTTTTCCCCAGGGCTACATGGTTTTAATGGTGGTGTGTCATCAAGAACCAGGTCAAGGAAGACATGGGTTCAAATCCTAAACTCTGACTTCTAAGATGAATGACCTTTGGGTGGACACTTGCCTTCTGTGAGCCTCTGTTTCCCCTTCTGTGAGACTGAGAGTGTCTTTCTAGAATATTCCACCTGAAAACAGCAGAATCCCCATTCTCCTCAAGGGCACATAAAGGACCCACCAAGACCAGAGAACATAGGACACTTCGATACATTTAAAGAACAGAAATCCCACAAGGAAAGTTCTTGGACCACAGTGGAATTAGAGTACAAATTAGAGCAGAAATAGCTGGGACACTCCTAAGTATCCAGAGACCAAACAAATCCTTCCAGCAAGAATACTTAATGTTGAGCCAACACCTCATACCTTTTAAACAACACCCAGGCTGAAGTAGTTGCCTCTCAAGATTTTTTTAAAAAATTTTAAAAAAATTTCAACTACTGGGGTGGAGATTAGTAAAATGCCACAAAAGCCTGAGGACCCAAGTTCAAGTCTAGTATCCAGTTTAAAACACTGGGTGCACTGGGTGGTGGTGGCGCACAACTTTAATCCCAGCACTCGGGAGGCAGAGGCAATGGATCTCTATGAGTTCAAGACCAGCCTGGTCTACAAGAGTTAGTGCCAGGACAGCCTCCAAAGCCACAGAGAAACCCTGTCATGAAAAACAACAACAAAAAAAAATATATCGCTGGGTACAATGACACAAGCTTATAATTCCAGTGTTGAAGATGCAGCAAGAGGAGGGTCTCCAGGGCCACTGGAGACAGCCTAGCCTAATTAGCCAACTCAAGTTCCTAGTGAGAGACCTTGGCTAAAAAAATCAAGGTGGATGGCTGAGGAATAACAGCTCAGATTAACCAGCACTATCTGAAAACTAAATGTATTAAAATCTGTGAGATGCAGGAAGAGCACAGACAAAAATGTTAGGGGGGGGCTATAAGTAAGACATGACTGCTTTGGAGATTAGATGCCATAGGGACTGTCATCCTAAACCATTCAGGGCAGTGACGTGGTTCCCCATTTAAAGTCCCAACAGAAGGTGTCAAGGTGTCACTCACCACCACACGTCAGCAGGTTCTGCAGGAGCACGAGGTGGACTGGGCATGAGCAACGCGGCGTTCCATCACCCTTGGCAATGCAGATGTGGGAGCAGCCACCATTGTCTCGGGCACATGGATGGGCTGCTGTAGGAACAAAGCAACAAGGAATAGGGTCAGGTACTCCCTTCCTCCAGAGTTCATCATGTGCACAAAGTGAAGGCCAGACTCCTACTGAAGACCATCTCACTGATCCCTTCAGCAGCCCAGATGATCAATACTAACATGGAAACTGATATAAAAACCAAGTCTCAGGGCTAGAGAGATGGCTTGGTGGTTAAGAGCACTGGCTGCTATTCCATAGGACACAGGGTTCAAGTCCCAGCACCTACATGGCACCTCAGTGTCTATAACTCTAGTTCAAGGAGACCCAACACCCTCACACAGACACACATGCAGGCAAAATGCCAATGCACAGAAAATAAAAATATATTTTGTTTTGTTTTGTTTTGTTTTTAAATAAATGGAGTCTGCCAGCAGTGTTGTACTATGAACACACAGCTGTGTTGCCGGCACTGAGGTCAACCCAGTCTGTTCATTCAGAAGCACGATCTATAAATGAGGAGCTAAGGACAGTTGAGGCTCCTGTGGGATTGGAGAAGTCACATCACTGTAAGGGTGTGGCTTCTGGTAAGTCAACCATACTCCCATGGATGGTTCCACAGCTATAAGCATATGATATGGATGGCACAAATTAATGCTGATGGATTATTCAAAAAATTAAAATTAGAGGGCTAGAGAGATGGCTCAGAGGTTAAGGTCCTGAGTTCAATTCCCAGCAACCACATGGTGGCTCACAACCATCTGTTTTGAGATCTGGTGCTCTCTTCTGGTGGTGTGCAGATATACATGGAAGCAGAATATTGTATACATAATAAGTAAAATCTAAAAAAAAACAAAAAAAAACCCCAAAAAAACCAGGCATTTAAAAAAATTAAAATTAAAAAAGAGTGGGTAGGTAGGTGGGGAAAAAAAACAGGCATTTAAAAAAATTAAAATTAAAAAAGAGTGGGTAGGTAGGTGGGGTGGGTCAGGGAACAGTAAGGGCTCTGGAGAATGGGGATGAATAGGATCAAAATAAATTATATGAATAAATATTTTAAAAAGAGCACATAGAATCTGGAAGCAATTACAGACTTTGAACAGCAGTATACCCAGACTGTCTCCCTAACCCGCACCCCTACCATTCCCACCATGGCTCTACACTGTCTGTCTGCTGCTTTCTCTGCTGTTACAGTGGATGTGTCCATGTCCTGACCCTATGACCTATAAGCATGAACTTAACTGGAAGTGGAGCCTTTGAAGATGTAACAGGTAAGGAATCTCGAGACAAGGTCATTGTGGGTGACTAAGTGCTTTAAACAGAATGACAAGCACAAAGACAGAAGAAGGGCAGGTGCAGAATTCTGGGATTGAATCCAGAGCTTTGTGTATGCTGGGCAAACCCTTTACCAACTGGGCTATAGCCACAACCTAAGCTTAGGTTTTTGCTTCATTCCATGTGTGTGGTGTACGTGCACATGTAGGGGGGATTTACACATCTGTGTGAGCACACAGAGGCCAACAAAAGGATGCTGGCTGTCCCATCATTTTCTGCCTCATTCCCTTGAAGCATTGACTCACTGAACCGGGAGCTAGGCTGACCCCAATAATCCTAGACACCTGCCAGAGAGCTGAAGCTACAGATTACACTGAGGTTGTTATGTGGGTGCAAAGTGGATTTGAACTCAGGACCTCATGCTTGCACAGCAAGTGTTCTTACATACTAAATCATCTCTCTTGTCCTTCCTTTCTCTTACAGAGGCCTTACTATATATTCCTGGCTGTTTTCTAACTCTAGTTCCTCCTGCCTCAGCATCCGGGGAGCCAACGTTGCAGATATGTGCCTCTGGATGCTAAGCCAGGACTGTGTAGTTATAAAATTGAGGCAGTCTCAGCAGAGGTCAGCAGGCCTACTCTGTTAATACCACAAAATAAATAATTTTTACGTCCCCAGGCAGGCTGTTTCCTGTAGCTACTCTATTCTGTCAGACTTTGCTCTATGGCTTTGCTCCAGGGCTCAGACATGTCTGGCCATAGAATCTCATAAGAAAGCATGTTGGGTGGTCAACACCCCTGAAGGAGAGTTCACCTGAGAATTCCTTGCCCTCCTCACCTTATATTAAGTCTCCACAAGGACATCTCCAGTTCTTACCTTATTTCGCTAAAGGCTACCTGGTTCTTCTGTTCCTTCAGTTATATGGAGTTAAAGCTAGTACCTGGCTTTCTGTGGACATTATCAGGCAAGAGCTGTCACCATTCCAACTACACCATGGTCATTCTGAAGGCCTGTTGACATCTAGGAGTCTGTGACTTTGCAAGAAGCCAGGAGAACAGATATAACCTGTTGGCTTTGTTTATAAAGACAGGGTCTTGCTATGTATCCCTGGCTAGCCTGGAACTCATTTTCTAAACGAGGCTGACCTCTAACTTGTTGTGATCCTCCAGCCTCAGCCTCCTGAGTGCAAGGTGTGTAAGTATGCACCAGTGTGCCTGGCTAGACAACAAATGTTCTACCCTGTATCTGCAGATACACATTCTGGGCAGCAGCAATTTACCCAGAACTCACTTCTCCAGCACCCTAACAACCCAGAGGACAGAAAACCTGCCACTAGCCAACCAAGGTGGCTAATTCCCTGCTTCAGAGCTCAACCCAGCTTTAAGCAAATTGCCTAACTGCTCTGCTCTCAAAAGCACCTGTATTCCATATGCTAGTCTACAGATTCTGGCTATGGATTCCCAACCTATAGGGTCGAGCAATAGAAATGACAAATGACCAAGTAAGTCAAGGGCTCTGTCCTCAACCCAAGCTGCATTAACAGGGCAAATGAGCATGGTCAATAAGCCATTTCCCTCCTCACACAGTAGAAATACTGAGCCAGTACTTGAGACATGCTGACATGACATGCATGCATGCATGCATGCATCAAGGGCTAACTACGCATGTCCCCCAACATACAACCAGAAACTTACTTAAAAAATCTTGACAAGGCCTGAGAGATGACCCCGAAAGTGAAGGAACTGTGTGTTCAATCCCTGAGTTCAACCCCTGGAAACCACTGTGGTAGTTAGCTTTTTGTCAATTTGACAAAACCTAGAGTCATTTGAAGAGGGAAGGGACCTTGATTGACGAACTGCCTCTAACAGATTAGTGTGTGGACATGTGTCTGGGGGCATTTTCTTGACTATTGAATGATGCATTATACCTGGGCAGGTAGTCCTGGATGGTGTAAAAAAGAAGGCTGAGCAAGTAATGGGAGCAAGCCACTAAGTAGTGCTCCTCCATGCATCTGCCGCCACTCCTGCCTTGAGTTCCTCCCTGGGTTCCTTCAATGATGGACTGTGACCTGTCAGTCAAACACACCCTTTTCTTCCCTAGCTGCTTTTGGTCATGGTGTTTATCACAGCCACAGGAAAACTATTTAGGATGCCCACATAAGGGAAGAAAGAGAGACTCAAATCCACAAAGTTGTTCTCTGACCTGCACATGTTCCATGGCATGTATGGTCCTACCCCTACAAACAATTTAAAAAAAAAAAAAAAAAGAGGTTTTTTTCTGTTTTGTTTTTGTTTTTTGGCAACTTGATTGTGTTAATTTCGAGGATGGGTTTTGTGGACAACATTTTATCACATTGTCAAATGTTGAGCACACCTGTACAAGGGATGCAGGAGATGTGACCATGGTCCCAGCAAAGGGACAGCCAAGGTGAAAGCTGAGTCCTGGAGGGAGAATTAGCAGGTAGCAGGAGTGATTCCAATAGAGGGACAGGGACATCAGGGAGACAGGAAGGGCTCCAGGTACAGACCTGCTTAGCCACAAGGGCCTGGACCACACTGAGGAACAGCAGCATGGAGGGGCAGCCCCAATCCTGAACCCTGAGAAAGCAGAGTGTGTTCCTGGGGCAACATGGGAAATCAGGGATTTGAGCAGCTGATAAGAAGGACTGCCATATTTGGATAAGCAACTCACAAAGGCTTTGTGCCAGCCTGTGGAGCAGCCAGAAGGCTCCTTTCTGTTCTTTTGTCTTTAATTGGAACCCAGAGACTTGTGCTTCCTAAGAGAGGTAGACTACAGCCATGGAGGCACTAGTGAGAGGCAGCAGAACCGTTAAAGAGTGGGACCTAGTTGGAGATGTAGGGCAAGGGTAGAATACTTGAGCAGCATGCATGAGAGACATGAATTTAATTCCAAGGACTGAAAAACAACACAGCTGGAGCCTAGTGGGGGATCTCTGTATCATTGGGAGCATGTCTTCCTTTTTTTTCTTTTTTTCCGAAACAGGGTTTCTCTGTGGCTTTGGAGGCTGTCCTGGAACTGGCTCTTGTAGACCAGGCTGGTCTCAACCTCAAAGAGATCCCCCTGCCTCTGCCTCTCGAGTGCTGTGACTAAAGGCATGCACCACCACCGCCCGGCGGGAGCATGTTTTCAAAGGAGATAGTAGGAAGCCATCTCTCCCTTTGTCTGGGTTCCAAGCCATGAATCATGTACATGCAGCCTTGCTTCATCACCTAATTATTGTCACGAAGCACACTGCCTCACCACAGACCCATGAGAAACACAGTGGAATTAACGTGTGAGCATGCATGTGAGAAACACACACACACACACACACACACACACACAGAGAGGGGGGGGGGGGTTGGAGAATTCCAGCACTCAGGAGGTTGAGGCCGGAGGACTGTCGAGAATTCCAGGCTAGCCTGGGCTACCTGTAGAGACTATACCTTAAAAGTAGATAAATAGATGATGGATACAGACAGATGAGAGAGATGGACAGATGGATAGGTTGGGATTGCTAGGTAGGTAAATGTTAGAAGACAGACAGACAGACAGACAGACAAGAAAGAATTAAACAAAGAACAGGCTTGGACTTCTGTATAGCAGTAAACACAAATGACTGCAGATGAAAATACTAGGACACATACTGGCCTTCAGTGCTGAGCCCAAGACCTCCTTAGGCACATGGTTCTTACACCAGTAACCAATCTGATTTCAGCAGGGATGATTCAACAGTCTCCAAGAAGTGTCACCCTCCCCCCAGAGGACCTATCACAAATGGTGTCCCCTCTCACATACAGAACTCCTCCAGGCTGACTTCCTCCACAGCATGGATGCCTGTCAGGTGGGTGACACGGCCCTGAACCCTAGTCCGCTTGTCCCCAGTGGTCTTCTCCACACGTTCAATCATCTGCTGTTGGCGGTCGATCCAGTAGAGGTGCCTGCCCAGCACCGTCAGACCCACTGGCTGCACGATGTTGGCATCTTCCAGGGTCAGGCGGTTGGCCCCTATGGGTAGCACAAAGACTTCATGAGTGGCAGCTGAGCCAGACCCACGGGGCTCAGGAGAATGGAGATTTAAAGAAAGGGCCAGGAGGGAGACTAGGGTTTTTCTGTGATTTCCAGAGCTGGGAGCTGGGGCAGAGACCATGGAAGCAGACTGCTCCCACAAGGGCTGGCCTTGGGTTCAAGTCATACCACATGGTCACTGTCTTCTGTAAACATGGTGCTTCCTGTCCCCATCCATTGTGTGTGTGTGTTGGGGGGGCAGTGTGTGGAGGAGGTATCTTTATACATGTGTGTATGCATGTGAGGCCAGAAGTCTCAATCATTTCTACATCTCATTTATCTTTTTAAGGTTTTTATTTATTTGTTTATTGAGACAAGGCCACTGTATATAGACCTTGCTATCCTGAAGTTCTTCGTGTAGACCAGCCTGGCCTCAAATTCACAGAGATCCACCTGCCTCTGTCTCTCAAATGCTGTGATTAAAGGTGTGCATCACTGCACACAGCTTTTTAAAAAATAACTTATTCTTATGTGCATTTGTGTTTTGTCTGTATGTATGTCTGTGTGAGGGTGTCAGATCTTTGAGTTACAGACAGTTATGAGCTGTCACATGGGTGCTGGGAATAGAATCGGGTCCTCTAGAAGAACAGTCGGTTCTCTTAACTACTGAGCCACCTCCAGCCCTACATCCACAGCATTTTTAAATATTTATTTGTTTTTACTTCGTGCATATGGGTGCTTTGCCCGCATGTATGTTTGTATGACAGAAGCCTACAGTGTCCAAAGGAGGCCAGAAGAAAGCACTAGATCTCCTAGACCTGGAGTTACAGATGGTTGTGTCAGGTCAATGTAGAGAACTAAACTCAGATCCTCTGCAAGACGAGCCAGTGCTCTTAATCACTGAGCCATCTCTCCAGCCACCTTATTTTTTATTACATTTACGTGTGTATGTGTATATTTGGGAGCAGGGATACATGTCACTGAGGACAACATGTAGGTGGAGTCAGGTCTCAACTTCACCATGTGGGTTCTGAGGACCAAACTCTTGTCAACAGGCTTGGTGGCAAGGGCCTTTATTCACGGAGTCATCTGGCTGGTTCTCCACCTTATTATTTGAGACAGGAGCTCTTACTGAAACTAGAGCTCACTAATTTGGCTAGACTGGAGGGCCAGAAAGACTAATAGACCTTCCCAACAACCAGCTCCTAGGCATGTGCCACAGTCCCTGTCTTTTCACATGAGTATGGGGATCAGAGTTTAGATCCTTATGTTCCACAGCAAGCTCTTTGCCCACTGAGCCACCTCCCAGTCACACAGCTTTTATTAGGTGAAAAGTTGCAAGGATCCCTCCTAAGTACCAAATCCTGCTTCTCCACAGTCCAGGGCTCACACCCAGGCTCCCATGGTGTTAGGAATATGCATGAACATACAGAGCTACAGCACAATGCTAGGCTCACAGCAGGCCTGGGACAAGGTGGTAGCTGTTACCCCTACTTGTAACAAGGAAAGCTGAGGGCTCATGGGAGAGTCACACCTACAGGTTGCTGACAGAGGACACAATGACTAGAGGCATCCAGGAGACCTACCTGACAAGTCACAGCTTTCGATACGCTTTAGATCTGCATCCACCCAGAAGAGCTTTCCCAGAGTGTTGTCCACCACGAGGGCCACGGGACGGATGAGGCCGGTGGTGAAGAGAACCTCACGCTCGGTGCCATCCAGGGAGGCCCGTTCAATCTTGGCCGCGTGGTCCTGCATGTTGGTGAAGTACATGTACCTGTGGCAACAGGGCATGGCAGCGGTGGGTAAAGAGCAGGCGCTGGAAGCTCTCATTGCCTGCTTAGCCCCAGCCCAGCCTGACCCTACTGCTGTCCAATCAGCAGCCCCAGCCTCTCACAGTTGGTACTATAGGCTAATGAGTCAAACCTCTTGTGGAAATAGTGTCCCTCAAATTTATGCCATCCTGGGGAGTCACGATGTAAGCCTCTTTGAAAATGGGGTCTTTGAAAATATGAGGATTGAGATGAAATCCTTGTGTGAGAGGGTGGACCCCGAATCCAGTGAGAGGCTGCTGAAGAGAAATAGAGATGGCCATAGAGCACAGAAAGACAGTATGGTCAGAGGGGAAGTGTGGAATGATGGGGCAGGTCAAGGAACATCTGCAGCCACCACAGATGACAGAATGTCCCACATTGCATCAAAGGAAGGGGCCCTGGCAATAACTGTACTGTGGACCTCTGGGCTGTAAGACAGTAAGTGGCAAAACATGGTTGCCACAGACATTTGTCTATACCCCTGCACAAACTGCCAAGGAGCATCCCCATGCCCATCTCCTCAGAGGGTGATCCATTATCTCCTAAACAGCTGTCCTCCAACAACTCAGGCTCCACTTGTAGGCTGAAGTACTTATACCATCTTCCTCATGGTCACAGAAAAGGACACCAAGACTCTGAGGGACTGCATCACCTGCCCACAGCCAAGGAGCAGTTAAGTGCAGAAGTCAGGATTTGAACTCTGGCATCCTTGCCCTCATCAGGAACCTCATAGGTAACACTGCCTTTACATGTCAGCCCTACAAGACTTAAAGGCCATCAAACTCCTGCCTGAGGCAAGATCAGCTTTTCCTTGAGCTTCATGGGCACTTGTTCCTCTCAAACCAGGCACCCTGAGTACCAATAGGTAGGGTACTGGGAGATTCAAGGAATGACACATTTTGAGTTGTGTCTGGGGCAGAACGTGTGCAGTCCCAACTTGGACAGATTACAGATACAAGGCCATGCAGCAGGGCTCACATCTCCTGAGTTCTCCACTCTCACCCCATTCAGACTTTACCTTCTGCTCATGCAGTTGGGGATCCTGGATACAATGCTGAAAATACTGCCTAGCCCCAAGAGGCCAGCACCATAGTCACACAGGGGCCAGTGAGTGACTACATGCCTAAGCAGGATGCAGCCCTAAATCCAGGGCCTGCCCACCCTGGGCCACCTACCCTCGCTCAGCATTGACAGCAATGGCCCTTGGTTTGTCACGGTCCCCTCGAAGCACCACTCCCATGGCATCCCCATCCAGCCGGTGGACATTGATGGTGTTGGTGGCCTCACAGGTCCAGAATAGTGTCCGGCTGTAGATGTCAATGCTGAGATCGTGTGGCTGTCTGTCTGGACTCAAACTTTGGCTGGGAGAGGTCAGTGTAGAAGGCTGTGAGAAGGAAGGAAGCAGACCAAGAATGCACCACCACTGTCATGTACAGTAAACCCGGAGGAGAGCAGAAGTCCCAAGTTCAGCCTCAGCGTGAAGATTCCAACAATCTGAGGCATTTCCTCCAGACATGGCTGTTTAAAAACAAACATCTGTTTGTTTGGTTTTGTGGGTGTTATGTGTGTGCATGCACATTTCACAGCACATGCATGGAGCTCAAAGGACAATTTATGAGAGCTGATTCTTTCCTTCATCCATGTGAGTCCTAGGATTTGAACTCAAGTCATCCACCAGACATTATTTCAAGCACCTTTATCCATTGAGACTTCTTGGTGGCCCTCAACTTAGATCTTAATGGCATGTCCACTTGAAAATTCACAGAACGTCTGGATAGTCATAGCACACGCATTTAATCCCAGTACACAGGAGGTAAACACAGAATCTCTGAGTTCAATGTCATCCTAGTCTACAAAGCGAGTTCCAGGATAGCAAAGGCTATACAGAGAAACCCTGTCTCAAAAAGAAAAGAAAAGAAAAGAAAAGAAAAGAAAAGAAAAGAAAAGAAAAGGAAGGAAGGGAGGAAGGAAGGAAGAAAAGAATTCACAGAACAAGGAAGAGCTCCAACAGGACCTGGGACTCCAGGCCTCTGGAGGGAATCCACCAGAAAACACTGGCAGGCTGTCAACCAGATAGGCACAGGACAGAAACCCAACCTCTATCTCCCTTCATTACCACTGTTAACGACTCAGGCTCTTGGCTTTGGATGCTCAAACCTTGTTCTTTTAATTCAGTAGCCAGAATAGTGGAGATGGAGACAACAGGGCTACGTCTCTTCTTGCTCCATGGAGAAGGGACCCAGGCTGCGGAGTCATGCGAGGGGCCCAGGGGTAGGTGTTGGGGCTACTGGGGTGTGGAGTGTGAAGTAGGGTAAGGGTACACAGCAAATGACCAGTAGGCAGAGGTGCAGGCAGAGTGGAACCTGGGGCAATCACGGAAACAGGGCAGAGAGAAATAGGAAGGATGTACGCCTGTAGGAAGGTGTCTGAGGAAGGCAAGAGGACTGCGGCAGATGGTTCCAAGAATCCAGGAAATTCATACCATGGAGTTTTCTTGCAGAGAAGCTACGGGCATGAGTTAGGACTCAAGATGACTGTCAGGCAGATGACAGCCTGGAGCCACTAGCCCAGCATGGAGTTAAAGTGCCAACCACTCATTTTCACAACCGACAGAGATGGGGTGGAGGGTTGTAAGTGGAACCCACATGGTAGAAGGAAAGGACTCTCCCAGATAGCCTTGTGACCCCACCACCACATAGGTCGTGGCAAATACTCCCTGCTTCAATTAAAAAAAAAAAAAAAAAAAAAAAAAAAAAAAAAATAAAAAAAAAAAACTGTAAAGGAAAGAAAACAAAGTGCAGTATCCATTGCTCTCTGCTGCTGCTGCTGCTTTGTTGTTTGGAGATAGTATCTCACGAAGCCATTCTGGCTGTTCTACAACAACTCACAGAGATCCAGCTGACTCTGTCTCCCGAGTGAGGAAGCCAGCATGCAGCTTCTTGACTTGGATAAAATGTGACCACTACCTCGAGCTCTAATAGACTGCTTTGAACTGTGAGACAAATCTTTTCTTCATAAGTTATTTTCATTGGGGTGTTTTATCACAGCAATAAAAAATTACCTCTGGCTCAAAGGGATCCTACTAGTTTCCAGTAACAGCCTGGCACAAAAGACAAACAAACAAAAACAAAAAGCTACATTCCCAGAGTCCCAGGGAAGATCTGTTAACCAGCCCATGGGAGTGAGCTCTTCTTCTCTTAGCTGTAGCGAAGCATGAACTTGTCACACCACATTAGCAAAGGGGCCCCTGGGTTCTATAGCTTGTGTAAAAGGCATCTTGGAAAAGGCTCCCTGAGGCAGGCTTGGTTGCTCCTGTATGTGTTTCCTTCCTGGACTGGTCACGAACATTTGGAAGGCTCACCCCTGTTAGATTTGAAAACTAGGCTGACTGGATGTGATGGCACATGCCTTTTATCCCAGCACTTGAGAGGCAGAGACAAGGAGATATCTGTGAGTTCCAGGCCAGTCTGGTGTACATAACAAGTTCCAGGACATCCAGTGATGGGGAATGTCCTTCTGTATATGTTTCTCTTATTGGTTCATGAATAAAACACAGTTTGCACGGGCATTGGTGGCGCACGCCTTTAATCCCAGCATGCGGGAGCCAGAGGCAGGCGGATCTCTGTGAGTTCAAGGCCACCCTGGTCTCCACAGCAAGTGCTAAGCTAAGCTTGAAAGCTACACAGAGAAACCCTGTCCCGAAAAACAAAAACAAAACAAAACAAACAAACAAACAAAAAAACCCCACAGTTTGGCCAATAGAGGCAGGGAAATGGGTGGGACTAAGAGATGAGAATTCTAGGAAAGGTAGGCAGAGAGACCGAGAGGAGATGCTATGTAGCTGCCAAAGGAGTAACAGGTCTAGGCATTCTCCATGTGGAAATACATATATTTATGGAAATAGATTAATAATAAAGACAGGGGTAGTCAATAAGAAGCCCTAGTCATTGGCCAACAGTTTTATAATTAATATAACATCTTGCGGCTTATTTGGGGCCAAACAGATAGGGGAAACTCGAATAACAAAATGGTGTCACCAACATGGGTTGCACAAATTTCCACATAACAGAGCTAACCAGTAAGAAGCACTAGCTGCCTGCCAACACCTTGTAAATTAATATAGTGTAAAAATATACATAGGCATGGGACAGAAAGGAAAGGGGATAAAGTGGTCAAAAAGAAATAGAGTAGATGGGTGGGATGGCACACGCCTTTAATCCCGGCACTAGGGAGGCAGAAGGAAGCAGATCTCTGTGCCATATGTTTATTTGGGGCTAAAGAGTGGTGGGTCCTGGTGAAAAAGAAATGCCAGCTACAATCCAGGGCTACAGAGAGATACTCTGTCTCCAAGATGGGGGTAGGGGACAAAAAGGAGGGAGAGAGAGAACACTAAACTGACGAAATGGCTCAGTGGGTAAAGACAATTGATGCCAAGCCTGTCACTGGAGTTTGATGCCCAGGTTTCATATGTTGAAGGAAAGAGCTGACTTCCACAAGTTCCTCCAACCTCCACAGATAAACCATGTGACTTGCTCACACACATACACATAACTAAATAGATAAACATAAGAAATCTTTAAATAAAATTGAGGTTTAAAATTTGATAATATACAATTTCATTTATGAGAAACACAAAAAGAATGAAGAACCCAGGTGTAGTAGCACACAAATATAGTCCCAGTACCCAGAAAATAGCAAACGGGAGGATGAGGAGCCAGCTTTGGACAGAAACTGAGTTTGAGGCCAACCTGGGATACAGAAAAACTGGTCTTAACAAACAAACAAACACTAAGGGTAGAGGAAGTGGCTAGAGGGTTAAAGTGCTGGCAGCACATACATGAGAACTGGAGTTGAGTGTCTCAGAAATTCACCAAAATGCAGGGTGGGCATGACAGGCCCAGAAGGCAGACAGGGGATCCCCAGAGCAAGTAGAGCAGCAAGACTATCAGTTTGATTGACAGATCCTGCCTCAGTGAGTAAGATGTATGATCAATGGAAGATGATTCCCAACACCAATGACAGGACCCCCCACACACACACACACACATACCCATTTGCACAGAAACATGCACCCTACACATACAAGACAGACAGACAGACAGACAGACAGACACACACACAGACACACAGACACACAGACACACAACTCCAGTTCTAAGAGACGACACACATACACACAGGCACACACACACAGGAAAAAAGTGAATGTAGACACTTGTCCTGGCATGTGGCTCCAAGAAGACTGGATGACACACATACCTCCATTCATATGCTATGAGCCACATCTAGCCACACCTGCAACCATAACTTCCTGCCCTGCTTCCCATGATGCTTCCATTTCATAATGCCCACATACTGCAATCTCTGATGCTCTACACCCACAGCGGAAGGAGTAACTGGCCAGGCAAAGGAGCTCTAACACTTCCCACAATCCCATCCTACTGTCTATGTGTCACTGGATTTCCCAGTTGTTGATATTGTGGGGTGGGGTGGTGATGGGCCAAGCTCTGAGGATCTTTTGGCCAAGGTGGTTTTCTTTTCTCAGGGTTCATACAACATTCATTTATTTTTTTGGGGGGGGGTGTTAAAATCACTATTATTTATTTTGCCTGCATACATATCTGAGTACTATGTGCATGCCTGGTGTCCAAGGTGGCCAGAGGGCACTGGATCCCCTAGGACGGGAGTTACAGACAGCTGTGAGCTATGTGGGTGTTGGAAATCAAACTCAGTCTTCTGGAAGAGCAGCCAGTGCACTTAACCACTGAGCCTTCTTTCCAGCCCTTCTAATAGTTTCTGAGTACCAGGCCCACCCCTCTTTATTCCACAAGCCCAAGTGTTTCTGTTGGGTAATTTGGCACAGACTTGGAACTTTCAGGATGATGCTTATTACATGGCAGAATTACCTGCCCAAGAGATAGGCTGGGAAAAACACTTGTCGTGCAAGCATGAGGGGCAGCACCCACATAGGAGAGCTGGGCACAGTGACATGCATTTGTAATCCTAGCACTTGAGAGGTGGAGACAGGCAAATCTTTGGGGCTTGTTAACCAGCAGTCTAGGCTAATCAATGAGCCCCAGGTCCCGGTGAAACCTTGTAGATGGCTCCTATGGAACCACAGCTGATATTGCTGTCTCAAGCCATGTTCGCACAAACACACATACACAGAGAGACTGACTGCATGAACCCTATAAAATAAATGAATGTTGTATGAACCCTGAGAAAAGAAAACCACCTTGGCCAAAAGATCCTCAGAGCTTGGACCATCACCACCCCACCCCACAATATCAACAACTGGGAAATCCAGTTTCTCCTAACCACAGTCCAGGGTTTCATATGCCCAGGATCACACCTACAATTACATAACCAGACTCTAAATCCTTGTTTGCTGCAAGCCCTGCCCAGAAAGGGAGAACAGCTTGTATGTCACACCCTGCCCCGAGGAGAACCTACCTGGGTACCGTCATCCTTGGCCCTCTTGATGTTCTGGCGCCCATCCACCCAGTAGATGAACTTGTCCAGTGGGTCATAGTTGATGGCTTTGACATTCCTCAGCCCATGCAGGGGCAGGACAAGGTCTGGGCTGAGCTGGTCATCAGGGATCATCCGGCTGATGGCAAATTTCTGGCTGAACAGCAAGAAGGTGGAGGGCGCTGGAGTGGGACAAACAGACCGAGCGCCGAGCATCAGCAAGCTGAGGGCGCTGGGGCGGGACAGACAGACTAAGCAGAAAGCATCTGCAAGTACAAGCAAAGAGCTAGACAAATAGATGGAGCAGCAAGCGTGGCAAGCTAAGTTCTCTGGACAGACAAACCAAGCATCAAACATCAGCAAGCTGAGGGCACTGTACAGAAAGACTGAGCCACAGCATCAGCAAGCTAAGGGTGCTGGACAGACCAAGCGGAGAACATCAGTGAGTGGAAGCTGAGACCTGGGGCCAGGGTACAACAGCCAGTGTGGTAAACAGACCAGCGCCTGTTTCCACTGGACCCCTTAGACACAGAGCAGTCAGCTGGCCCGAGTGATGGGTCTTCTACTCTCTCTGTCATGGCTGTTTCTGTTACCACCCCAAAGTCTGTATGGTTGTTCTGAATAGATTAATACAATTTTTGTTTGTTTATTTTTGGAAATAGCGTCTCACGTAGCATAGAGTGGCCTCGAACTCCTCATTCCCAGCCCCAGGGATAATTTTAAGATGGGTTTTTATTATTTTTAAAATTATATGTGTGAGTGTGTATGTGTGTCTGAGTGTAGGTGTATGAAATTGAATGTAGGCGCTCACAGACACCAGAAGTGGGAAAACTGCTTCTGGAGAGATCAGAAAGTAGGCTGGCTTCTCCTTCCCAGCAGGGAGCACAGACCCTGAGGCCCAAGACCAGCTGCCCAGATTCAGAAACTAAGCCACCAGGCAGTATCCAGGAACAGGGGATTAGGGTAGGTAGTTTGAAATCCAAGCCACTGTCCCAACACCCTAGGAAGTAAGAGCTTTTGTTTCTGTACCTCTATCTGTCCTAGAAGAGCACAGCCTCAGCAGGGCATGGGCACATACAGCACTCAGGAAAGCAGAGGCAGGTGGATCTCTATGAGTTTGAGGACAGTCTTATTTACACAGCAAATCCCAGGCCAGCTACACAGTGAGACTTTGTCTCAAAAAAAAAGAACTGGTTGCTCTTCCAGAGGATCTAGGTTCCAATTCCAGCACCTTCATGGCATCTCACACTGTCTTTAACGCTAATACCAGAGCATCCAAGGTCCTCTTCTGGCCTCTCTGGGCACTATGCACACATGTGGTGCACAGATATACATGTAAGTGAAACTTCTACATACATAAGATAATAAACAAAAATAAAATAAAATAAAATAAAAACTCCTGGGAGGCCAAGCTCTGGCCCTGGACCACTTCAGACAAGCTCAGTGTTAGGAACATTTTCTGTCCTTTCAAACTTCAGGGTCCTCACTGATTGAACAGGGAAAGGCAAAACAGCTATTATGGAGGCTGCAAGAGACCCAGGTGACAGAGACCCTAAGAACTGTACAGTTCTGTGTAGAGGTGAAACTGTATCTGGATCTCCACCAACATCACAAAAGAGCTTGGTGTCAGGACACAGCTGTGCTCACAGAAGGCTACAAGGACATCACCCCCTGGCCTTCTGAATCTCATGTTCCCTCCCATGGATGTGACAACACCGGCACACCTATTGGGACAGTAAGAAGGGGACTGTACAGGCTCTTGTGAAGCCACCATCAAGGTCAAGAATGCAGACTCAGGAGCCATTCTGGTGGCTCCAACCGTCTCAGCTGTACAGACTTGAGCAGGTAGCTGCACATCTCTGTGCCCCAGGTTCTATAACTGGGATACTCAACCCTATAAGCCTGAGGATCAAATGGGGGAAGCACTCAAGACAGCGTTGGCAATACACTAAGATGTTCCCTCCCCCAATCTCCTAAAGGATTCTACATTCAAAGACCCTCCCCACAGAACCAGGAACCTAAGGGGTTTGCCCTCAGCGAGTCTGGCACTATCAAGCGTATAGTACCATGAAGCCTGTGCAGTGTATGACCTGCCTAACATTCATGTACAAAAGACACCCAGACTTCTCTTCCATCTCAGCCCACAGTACCAGGTTTTCTAAGGGGCTAAGGCATGGGGCGTGCAGTGGGCATCAAGGCACTTACGGCTGCAGTTGCGGCTGCTGGGGTCCAGCGTGTAATGTGAAGCACAGCCACAGCGGTGGCCTCCAGGGATGGCAAGGCATAGCTGCCCACACTGGCCATTGCTGTGCACACAGTCATTGAGGCCGTCCTGACGGGAGGAGTGGAACACCAATATGTCCATGACGAAGTCTAGGTGGCCCTGGATGAGGGTGCGGTTCTGCCCACTGGTCTTGTCGGCCCGCTCAATGCTATGCAGGTTCCAGTCAGTCCAGTAGATGTAATCACTGTACTGTGTCAGGCCAAAGGGGTACGGCAGATCGTCAGCTATTACCATGCGCTCCTGACCTGTGTGGGGACACAACACAATAAGAGGTCAGTAGAGAGCTGTAAGGCCAACAAGCTCAGGGAAGTTCTAGGAGAGTCAAGCTAACCTCGTTCCAGGAATCTCAGCAGAAAAGCCTGAGCAGTTTCAGGAATCGGGATGGCTATCCCCCTAGGTGGCAAATCCACCCAGTGTAATCAGGGAGAAACCCATATAACATCAGCCAAAGGACACTCACAGGACAATCAGCAGAAAGTAACTTGGTTTCTTTGTTTATTCTGACAGTGCTTCAGTTTTGCAGCCTAGGCAGGCATAGAACTTACTCTGTAGCCTAGGCTGGCCTCAAATTCACAACGATCGTCTTGGCTCAGCCTGCCAACTGCTGGGATTCTAGGAATGAGTCAGCATGCCTGGCTCCATTTTATCTAATCCAGCACATGGACCATTTATACCTGACCCCACACTCACACGGCTACAATGTCCCCAAGGAGACTCCCAGCAATGGAAAAGGACAGATGTGTGAGATCTTGCAGAGAAATCCCAGCCTTCCCAAGAGCAGGATGACATAGAGTGAACTGGGCAGATCTGTCTTCCTGTTCTACCTTTTACCAGGGGCTCAGTGTACTGGTGCCACCCAACACACAGCCGACTTGAGGCCATGTGTCAAGGAGAGACAGGGAACAGGCCTGGCAGAGCAGAGCAGAATAAGGTTCTAAAACAAGGTTCTAGAACAAGGTTCTAGGCAAGGAAGGAGCCTAAAGATTCTCAGAGCCCCTGGCCCAGGCACAGGTCCAGCCTGCACATCTACACTTTATACTCTGGTGCTGCAGGCCCATGTCTCTTCATGTGTTTTAGTCAAGGCACAAATAGTACTAACGAAAATAAGCTTGTGATACGAGAACAAGCTTGTCATATCAGAAAAAGCAGAAAAACATAAGTAGTATAACTTAAAGGAAAGTTATTTTCAAAAACAGCTCTCAACAGCCCGGCAGTGGTGACAGACACATTAATCCCAGCACTTGAGAGGCGAAGCAGGCAGATCTTCATGAGTTTGAGGCCACCCTGGTCTACAGAACTAGTTCTTGAGCAGTGAGGGGCACACAACAGAGAAACCCTGTCTTAAAACAATCAAAAACCAGGTCTCTATCTATCTATTTATCCATCCACCCACCCAGTCAGCCAGCCAGCCGGCCGGCCAGCCTTGTGCATCCCAGGCTAGCTACAAGTTCCCTATGTTACCACAGATGACCTCTTGCCTCCACCTCCTGAGTCCTGGGATTATAGGCTATATTGTCGCACTTAGTTTATGTGATGCAGGGGATGGGGACAAAACCCATAGGTTTCATGCATGCTCAGCTAGCACTCTACCAACAGAGCTACATCCTAGCCGAAAATTATTTCTAAAAAGCAAAAACATGCACAAAAATATTCAGATCCTAAAAGACGAATACCATGTATTTAAAACTTAGCTTTTAAATACAAAGATTAGGAGGGTACGGCCATCGAGGAGGAGCTTATGCTACTGGGTGACAGAGGACAAATCTGGCCCTGAGGATATCTAAAGTAGCCTTGCTGGGTGATCTCAGACAAGTCCTATGACATATCCAGTCTCAGTTTCCCCACTAATAAAAAGGACTACCATGTGGTAGAGGGTGAAATACTACTCCTGGCTCAGGATACCAGGGATAGATGGAGATATACAAGAGAGAGAAGAATGCTTGTGGCTATGCCCATACCTTTGGGATGCCAAGTGGTTCATAATCCAGAGTAGCCTAGCATGTGTAAGGAGAGTGAAACCAGAGCCCTGCCACTCAGCGCCCATACCACAGCCCTGAGGTCACCAGCCCTCACCCAGCATGTTGGAGGACTCAATCATGTTGGTGTCCAGGTCAGTCCAGTACAGTCGCTGGTCGGCGTAGTCAATAGTGAGGTCATTGGCCCGGCCCACCTTGTCTACCAGCGTCATGCAATTGGTCCCATCCATGAAGGCCCGCACGATCCTCGGCTTGCCGCCCCACTCAGTCCAATAGATGTAGCTGGAAAGTACAGGAGAGGAAAGATGGGCAGGGCTCAGGTGAGTTCTGGCTTAATGCAGGGTTTGGGGAAAAGAGTAGCCACCATCTCCTAGACTCAGCCCCCTTGCTCTGAGGGAAGTCAGTCAATGATAGAACCCCAGGAAATAAAAAGGAGCCAGTTTCAGCTGTGCTTCAGCCATAGCTCTGGCTCTCCCCAGGGGCCAGGAAGAACTCTCGAGCAGCCAACACAGGACAAGCAGAGGAGGCCATTAGACAAGGTTGTCTAAGCAGGCAACATATCTTAACTAAGGTGGCTGATTGCTGGTGTGTCCTGTCACTCAAGAGAGATGTGGGCAAATTCAGATGGATGGAGCTTCTTCTCTCATAGAGTGAAAACCCTGACTAGGGATAACACAACACAGAGGGCCCCTTCCTCCTCTTCCTCTGCATATCTGAGAAAGATGCTCACATTCAAAGGCTTGGAAAATTTTCTTGGCCTTGGTAACCATCTGGACATTTGTCTTCCTCCTGCCATCCTGCCTGTGTTCCAGGCATGGGACAGGATTCAGTTGTCCCCCATGACAATATGGACGCTCTATGGGGTGAGTATGTGCCCTGCACGACAAGGGACACTTGGGACTAGAAAGAGACTGCATTTGGCCCACCGGGCTCCAGCTTCCAGGGTAGCCTAAGTGTTACTTAAGACAGCCCATGTGGGGCTGGAGAGATGGCTCAGGGGTTAAGAGCACTGACGGCTCTTCCAGAGAACCTGAGTTCAATTCCCAGCAACCACATGGTGGCTCACAATCATCCATAATGAGATCTTGTGCCCTCTTCCAGCCTGCAGGCATACATGCAGGCAGAACATTATATACATAATAAATTAAAAAAAAATCTTAAAAAATAAATAAATAAAGACAGTCCATGTGAAAGCAGCCAGAGGTCTGTGGCTGACAGTGGCTTCAATGCTGTAAGCATAAAGAGCTAGGAAGGGGGAGGCAGTGACTTCAACACAGAGGCACTTGTGAACAGATGGACAGGGCCTGGATCGAGTGACAGGCAATAACAGTGCTTACCCTTTAGTAGGATCCAGCGCCAGAGACCTGGGGTTGTCAAGGTCTTTCCACACAAGCACCTGACGGAACTGCCCATCCAGCCGGGCCACCTCTATCCTATTGGTCCCTGTGTCAGCCCAGTAAAGGTTCTTGCCCATCCAGTCCACAGCCATTCCTTCAGGGTAGTCTAGGCCAAACTCAATCACGTGTTCCACTGAGCTCCCATTCATGAAGGCTCGGCTGATAGTCTGGGAGGGTGAGGATGGAAAGGGCCATGTTAGGATCCATCATCTTTTGTAGACATCAACCAGGAGACAGCAGACTCACCAAACAGATAACTGAAAGGCAGGAAGATGACTTCCGTAGAAAAAGCAACTTGGATATTTGTGCATGTCCATGTGTGTGATTTTACACAGATGGAGAATCTAGAAAACACTCCACCCAGTAATCATACTTGAATCTGGGAAGGAATAAAAATATAGAAGACTGCACTGAGAGATGGTTCAGAGGTTAAGAGCACTTGCTGCTCAATCGTGAGAACCAGAATTCAGATTCCGGCTCCTACAGACAGCTCATAGACACTTGTAACTATTTCAGAGGAATGGACACTGTCATCTGGCCTCTGTGTACACTGGACACATATATGCTCATATAGTCACAGACATAAATGTACATATGTAAAATAAAATCATGTATGTATGTATGTATGTATGTATGTATGTGCATGGCAAGGAAATTTTCAAACATGAAACTGCTTTAGGAACTGTTAACAATTAGAAACGGAGTGAGGCTGGAAAGTTAGCCCGGGGATTAAGAGCACTTGTTGGTCTTGTAGAGGAACAAACAGTTCCCAACACCCACATGATAGCCTTCAACCACCTGTAAGTCTAGTTCAGGGCACCAAACACCCTCATCTTTTGACTTCCAAGTCATTTCTTTAAAAATGGAAAAAAAAAAAAAAAACTGCCAAGAGGAGTGGTGTATGCCTTTAATCTCAACAGGCAGGCAATCTCTTGAGTTGGAGGCCAGCCTAGTATACAGAGCAAGATCGCACAGGGAAACATGGTCTCAAAAAACCAAAGAGAGAGAAAGAGAGGGAGGGAGGAGAGAGAGAGAGAGAGAGAGAGAGAGAATTAGGAAAGGACTGGAGAGATGACTTAGTGGTCACAAGTGAATGCTACTCTTGCAGAGGACCCAAATTTTGTTTCCAGCACCCACATCAAGCATCTCATAACTGTAATTGCAGCTTCAGAAGATCTGACACCTTTTTCTGGTCTCCACAGACACATAAATGAAATTAAACATTAAAAATAAATAAGTAAATAACCACAAGCAAATAAATAGTAGCTTCAGATACAGGTGATCTTGTTTCTCTGTACCTCCCTACCCCCAGTCCCCCTTTCTTGAATCAGGACAGTCCAGGCTAGTCTCAAACTCATGGCAATCCTCTTGCCTCAGACCCCTGAGTACTAGAATTACAGGCATACACCACTATATCCCCAAAGGTGATCAAAATGTGTTAGTCATATGGTACAGTAGGGATCAGTTTTCACTAGAAAGGGATAGATAGGATTTTAGGTTTCTCACACCTCATAGAAATAACACCATTCCTCAGCCTGGTGGCACAAAAAAGCCGTAGGCAATCTCTAAACACACAGGGATCACCATATTCCAAGAGAACCATTTACAAAACCATCATGTTCCACAGACCCCCATTTAGGAGACAAGTCTCTTCCACTGTTCATCATCCAGGACAATGACACCTGCACGGTGACTGGAAACAGATACAAGGTAAATGGACTGTTGGAAAGTATTGGTCAATGCCAAGTTTCACCAAGCATTTACCAAAGTACTTTGCAAAAGCCTTGGGCATGTCACCCCGACCTACCACAATAGTCATTCATATTTGCTTATTAAATTAGGGACACTACACTTAAGTGTCAGCACCCAGGAGGCAGAGGGAAGGTGGATCTCTGTGAGTTCAAGTCCAGCTGATCTACCCATCAAGTTCTAAGCCACTTAGAGCTCCACAAAAAGATGCTGTCCAAAAACAAAGGAACAAACAAAAGTAGGTGGACTAATGTTTTATCAGCCTGCACTGAGTGATATTCAATACTACAACTCTGTTTTCTTTCTGTGTGTGTTTCCATGTGTACGCACTCCCCATGAGTATGGGGAGACCCAAGGCTGGCACTGTTACTCACGAAAACAGGTCTCTTAACTGAACCCAGAGTTTGCTTATACAACTAGTCTAGCTGGTCAGCTTGCAACAAGGACCACCTGCCTCTGCCTTCAGAGGCTGGGAGTTCTGGCAGCCTGCTACACCCACCAGAAAATTGTAACTCTGGTTCTTACATTTGCCATTTGTATGGCAAGCTCCTTGACCACTAAAATACCTTCTTAGTCTCAATACTTTAATTTACTTAAGATCGAAAAACTATCTTAGGTTCACTTTTATTTTATGTTTGAGTGTTTTGTCTGAATTTATGTCTGTGTACTACATGCATGCAGTACCTACTGAGGCCAGAGGAGGGCACTGGATCCCTTGGAACTGGAGTTACAGATTGTTATGAACCACCAAGTGGTTCCTCATGGATCCTCTGGAACCTGGATCCTCTGGAAGAGCAAGCAAGCAGCCAGTGCTCTTAACTACTGAGCCGTCTCTTCTGCCCCTCATTTTTAAAAACATTTTATGTGTACCTGAGTATGCCTGAGCACATTTAAGTGCACCATGTGTATACAGTACTACCCACAAAAGCCAGAAGAGGATATCAGATCCCTTGGAGCTGGAGCTGCTACGTGATATAATGAGGCACCTGATGTGAATGCCAGGAACTGCATTCAGATGCTCTGGAAGGCAGCATTCTCAACTCCTGAACCATCTATCACCCTAATAAGATAGTTCTTAAAAATAATAATAATAATCAGCCATAGAGCACACATAGGCAGTTTCACAGACAAGGTCCCACAGAAAGCTCAGGCATTTGCAGCCTCACACAAGGTACCTTGAGACTGACATCTGTCCAGTAGATGTGGTTGTTGGACACATCAAAGTCCAGTGCAGAGGCCTCTTTGACACCTGTGAGTGGGATGGCCACATCGTTGTTGTTCGTCTCCAGGGAAATCCTGTGGATGGTGGCTCTGCTGGTGAACACCAGGAAGGCCTCAGGGATAATGCAGGTCTTCATGTCACTCAACAGCTCCAGGCCAATGGGGCAGCCGCACTTGGTGGCATGAGGGGTGAAGAAGCATAGGTGGCTGCACCCTCCGTTCCCGTCCGCACATGGGTTGGTTCCTGTGAGTCGAACACATAGCTCTAGACTGGCCAAGGAGAGGTATAGCTCATTCACAGTTGTGCGTAGCTGTATTCCTGCCACCCACCAAAAGGAGACAATATTGATAGTGGCAACTGAGTACAGCAAATCAAGGGTGGTGCGGCCAGGGCTACAACCAGCCCACTGAGGAGTGATGGTACTACACCTCAATGTCTGTTCAGCTGTGGCTTCTCAACTCTGACCCTGCTTATTGGGTTGGCTCTTATCATTCTTCCAGAATGTTCTGATTCACTGACTCCCTTGGCAACCCATAAAACTCAGGTGTGCCATGGATAGTGCATGTTTCTATTAAAGCAGACAGACCTATTTTGGACCAGGCTATTATCTCATTCTGCTTCCAAATTGCTGCTAGAAGCAACTTAGTTGTTAGGAATTTAGCTTTTTTTTTTTTTTTTTTTTAAGACTCGGGCTTGAGAGATGGCTCAGAGGTTAAGAGCACTGACTGCTCTTCCAAAGGTCCTGAGTTCAATTCCCAGCAACCACATGGTGGCTCACAGCCATCCATTATGACATCTGCTGCCCTCTTCTGGTGTGCAGATATACATGGAAGCAGAATGTTGTATGCATAATAAATAATACCCTTTAAAAAAAAAAAGACTCTTCTTCCTCTTATCACAAGATGGGGGAGGTGAGATACCTTTAAAAAAAAAAAAAGACTCTTCTTCCTCTTATCACAAGATGGGGGAGGTGAGACACCGAAGGGGGTGGTGACAGGCCCACCCACCCTTCTCAGCCCAGGGAGGCTTGCTTTAGCCTTATCTTCTTCCCAACAGATACAGGTGAGCCTGTTCTGCATCCTGTGCATGACAAGTGCTTTTCCACAGGTGGCTGGTGAAATGGAGCCTGTCGGTCCTATGGGCTGCTGTGTGGTCTATCACAGTGACAAAAGGTACAAGCCACGCCCATGGTCACCCATCCTGCTTCCCTGGTGGGACCGCACTGCCTCTTCTGATGTTCAGATGTCTCTTCTGCCAATCACACCCTGCCTGATCATTTAGATCCAAGCTATGCTTCCCTGGTGGGCCCACACTGCCTCTGTTCAGATGTCTCTTCTGCCAATCACACCCTGCCTGATCATTTAGATCCAAGCTCAATCACCTCCCTCCTTACTTTGTGTGTGTTTGCATGTGCACACAAATGCACATGCTATAGCCACATGTGGAGGTAAACTTCTGGGTACCCCCATGTGGGCCAAGTGTTGAACTCAGGGTGTCAGGTTTGGCAGGAAGTTCCTTTACTCACTGAACCATCTCACTAGCACAATGATTTGGGTTTTGTTTTGTGTGTGTGTGTGTGTGTGTGTGTGAGTGTGTGTGAGAGAGAGCGCGAGAGAGGGTGGGGGAGGGGGAGAGAGAGAGAGAGAGAGAGAGAGAGAGAGAGAGAGAGAGAGAGAGAGAGAGGTGCAATCGCTGGAGGTCGGAAGATGGTTTTGGGTGAGCCTCAAGCTAAAGTCCCAGAACTTGGGTTCTCCAGAAGACTGGGGGCCGCTGAACTCGGAACCACCTCTCCAGCCTGAGCCACCTCTCTAACATCACACCTACCTGTTGATTACAAACAAGGGGCCCACAGCACTGGGGCCTCCTCTTCCATTTCTTTATCAGGGAAAGTCTCCAGTACCTGAGGCATGCAGGTGTGGCACCAGGCATGGGAGTGGCAGGGCAGACAGGACAGAGCCACTGCTCTGTGGAAGAGTCCCTGGTCCCCACAAGGACGTTTCTGAGTGAAACTTATGGATCTGCATTTGCAGTCCTCAAGACAACCCAACAAGCCAAATAAAGTTCTCCTAAGTGAAATCTGACCATCCTGCCTTTCAGGAAAAAAGTGTGTTTGAGAGTCATAGCCCAGCTCAGCCACAAGGGCAAGGCAAATATAGTGAGTTCTGGGTTCAACCACCTGCTACTCACAGGGCTTTCTCTCTCTGTCCCCAGTGTTCATGGGGTGGGAACTAGGATTAGCATACTGAAGTTCTTACCAGGGCTGGTACACATTGAGGAGACACATGTCAGCCATAGTTATTACCAACCGTCTAATCTTTGACCACTACCAACATAGTTTCCCTGCGCAACACATCACCCCTACTCCCACCTATCCTTAGCCAGACAGAGTCACCATTTCCTGTCCTCACCATCCTCAGAGTAGGATACCCTCCTGCACACCAAACCCAGGTCTGAACCTGTCACCTTTCCTGGTGCCAATTAGCCAAGCTGAGACATGGCTCGGAGCTTTCCTGGACTCACCGACAACCTTGGCCACATTCACCGCTTTGAGCCCCATCAGGTCAGGCAACTGATCGATGATGACATCCCGGCTGGCCTTGACCTTGTGTACCCTCTCAATACTGCGTCGCTGCCAGTCGGTCCAGTAGATGAAGTCCCCCAGCAATGTGAACCCAAAAATGTGTGGGAGCTTGTCCTCTAGCAGGGTCCGCCGCTTTGTCCCATCTATGTTGATCACCTGTGTGTTGGCAGAGACACGGGCCTGGGTGGTTAAGGGCTATACCAAGAGCCTACCTGGGGCCTGCCTCAGGCTTGAGCTGCCCAGGAGCTTTCATTCAACCACCATCTAGCCAGGGGCCATGAGATGTCAGGCGCTATGGTACAAATGGCATTTCCCACACACATCCTTGGCTGATGGACTGAGCACTGTTCCTAGAACCTCCTAACCTAGGTGTGGATGCTGTGAAAGGGAGTTCTCTCCCTGAGTGCTGATGAGGCATGGACTGGGGCCTGGAGTACCAAGGAAAAGAGCTCAAAATGGGACGAGCACTGTAGGAAGGCTTCCTGAGATCCAGTAGCAATGCCTGCTACAGGTGCAGAGGTGGGCATATAACACAATTTCAAAGAGCCAGGCCACCCCACAACCTGGACAGGCACCTCTAGTTATAAACCTAACCCCACAGGCCTATGGTACTTTCCTTCCCTGTCCACCTGGCACGAAAGACCAAGTCTTCTTCTGGAAAAGGCTATGATGATCAAAAACAAAACACTAAGACTGGGGGTGTGGCTCAGCTGGTAGAGGGCATTCCTGGCATCCAAGAGGCCCTAGGTTTGATCCCAAGCACCAATAAACTAATTGGTAGGGCATACAGACAATCCTAGCACTCAGGAGGTGCAAGAAAGAAAAGGAGTTCAAGACCATCCTCAGCGACGTAGTCATTTCAAGACCATCCTGAGACCCGGTTTGTTTGTTTGTTTGTTTGTTTGGTGTTGTTTGGTCATAGTTATTGTTTTTAAAATTCACAGGATAAACGGGACTCTAGTGACCCACAAAGACCAACAGTGGCAGCAGCAAATCCCAGGCTCAGGGCTCTCAGGACAGGATGATGAAATACACCAGGTAATTACAGGCAAGCCTTGGCTGGCCTCTTGAGCCTCTTGCTCATCAGGAGAGCAGGCAGGCTGAGCACTGACACTAAACCACTACAGTTCAACAGCAGGAGATGAAAGTGCTGATTCAGCAGAGAAGACCGTGCAGTTCCAGCGCCTACAGCCAGGGGGCCCTCACCACTCTACCCCATGGTGCTTCACCAAGCACCCCATGGGCCTCAGTATCCACCTGCAGCAGGAGACCAGACTAATCAATCAATTGCTAACCCACCCTGGAGATATAAAACAAAGAACCAAAGCTGAGCTCCTATCTAAAGCCATTCAGGCCGACTTGGAGGCCATCAAAGCTGCTGTGAGATCATCTGCCCAGTACTGGCAAAGGCAGTTAGTTGTTGGGGGGGGGGGGCATAGGCAGGGGTCATCTTGGCTGGAGGCTGCAGTTAGGACTGAAATCTCTGGCTCAATGACGTCAAGTGAGCAGTAGAGGGCAGTAACAGCCAGCTTCAGTTCACACAGCCCAGAGTTCAATGCTTTTTTTTTTTTTTTCAGGAGAGTTTTCTGAGTAACCCTGGCTGCCCTGGAACTTGATCTGTACACCAGGCTGACTTTGAATTCAAGATATCTAGCACCTCTGCTTCCCAAGTGCTGAGTTTAAAGGCGTGAGCCACCATGGCTAGGCCAGAGTTCTTTTTTTTTTTTTCCTTTTCCTTTCTTCAAGACAGGGTTTCTCTGTATTGCTTTGGAGGTTGTCCAGGAACTCTGTAGACCAGGCTGGCCTCAAACTCACAGAGATTCACCTGCCTCTGCCTCCCCAGAGTTCATTCTTATATTCCCATGACAAGACAGACAGAGGTGGTACACAGGCCGCAAGCTGTGAGTTAAACATCTGGGGGAATGATTGACCTTCAGCACAAACCATTAGCACATGGAGCTCCCCAACCTGGGGAGAAGAGAGAAGAGTGGGTGAGAGAAGAGGGCAGTGACAGGCAGGGCTCCAGGTGACCTAGGGACCCTGCAATTCCTCAATACAGGCACAACAGGGCCTGGGAAAGGATTGATGATGCTAAAATAAGATCCTCATCTGAACAAAGACTCTAGTTTTAATCTACCAGAAGTCAGCATTATCTCTTGTGTCTTCTCAATTTCTCTCTGTGTCTCTGTTGTGTGTACCAAGTATGTGTGTGCCATGGTGTAAGTGTGGAAGTCAGGACAACTTTCATGAATCAGTTCTCACCTTCCATCATGTGGGTTCCAAGGCTTTGAGTATAGGTTATCACAGGCTTGGTGACAAGCACCTTTACCTGCTGAGCCATCTTTCCAGTCCCTTGTTGTGTTCATTCTTCCTTCCTTTGCTATCTTTTCTTTTGAGATAAGATTTCAGATAGCCCAGGCTGGACGAAGGTTCACCACGTCCCATTCTCATGCCTCTGCCTCCCTAATGCTGGAATTACAGGTGTCCACCACCATATTTACTTTATATCATGCTTTGGGATGGAACCCTGGGTCTCGTGCATGCTAAACAAGAATTCTACCAACTGAGCCATATCCCTAACCCAATTTATAAGACTAAACTTCCAAGCATGAAGAAGCAAACCGTGGTAGAGAGCCTCTTCCTGGATCCATTCTAGAACAGTGAAAGAATCCCACAAAGTCACTAAGAGAAAGAGGGGAACACACCAGATAGCTCAACCTTGTCTCCTACTCCCTGATTGCCCTGATAAAAAATAAGAGGTCAGAGTTTTCCTGGCCAGGTCACAGCCACACCCAGGCTGGATCTGGGTTTGCATAGTGGCAGAGCCTCCCTGTAACAGAGGAGTCAGACCCCATGCTCTCCCCTTGGGAGAGATTACAAACCTCTCAGAAATGGAAGAAAATGAGACTGGCAATAAGCAATTCTTACATGCTCTACTGTGTGGGAATAGAAATTACAGAAATGGGGCTGGAGAGATGGCTCAGAGGTTAAGAGCACTGACTATTCTTCCAGCGGTCCTGAGTTCAATTCCCATGGTGGCTCACAATCACCTTAAATGAGATCTGGTGCCCTATGCTGGAGTGCAGGCAGAATACTGTGCACAAATTAATAAATAAAATCTTAAAAAAAAAAAAAGAAATTACAGAAATGTCCTATGGTGGTTTGGGGTGGGGGGGATCTTTCTCTGTAGCTTTGGTTAGCCTGGAACTTGCTATGTAGACAGGTTGGCCTCAAACTCACAGAGCTTTACTTGCCTCTGCCTAGGATTAAAGTCATGCACTGTACAAATGTTTTACACCTGTCCATCATATTGTGCAGTGCCTGTGTATGCCAGCAGACAGCATCACATCCCTGGAACTGTAGTTACAAATGACTTTGAGTAAACCACACTTTAAATGCCGATTGACATGGAATTCCACTCCCAGACAACCCTCAGGGAAAACTAAAAATGACATTCAGGCAAAAAAAAAACGTATACACAAATATCCACAGCAATCTTTCCTGATCAATGGACAAGAGGAAAGACCAGTGAGAAGGGCTGCAGTGTCCACCACGCGTTGGCATGGAACCTGCTCCAAAAGAGAAAGAGGTGTTTGTACATGGGACAGCATGGAGACTGAGTACATTTTGCTCCCAACAAAGCCAGATATAAAATGCTATATCTAGACTACAGGGGTCTAGTCACAGGAAATATACCCAAGAAACCAAGTCATAGAGGCAGAAGGTAAGGAGTGTCCCCAAGTGCTGAGGGACCAGAAACATGGGGAATGACTATGACCTGGCATGGGGCTTGCTCTCCAGGTGAGGAAGTATTCTGGAAGGAGACAGCAATGATATCATACAACCCTGGACACACTAAACAGAAACAGCTATGTGTGCCAGCATCTGTGGATGCCGTATATCCTTGTCACACTCCCGTTGGCACACCCCCTGCTCTCCCCTGAGAGCTGCTGAGGAGATGAAGATTCCTCAGCAGCCCTGGAGAGACTGGCTTTGGCTCACTAGCCCAGGAACAGGCATTTTCAAACTCTTTTGAGCAACAACTGTTTCTTTTCTTTTTTTTTTAAAGGGGGGTGGTGGTGGAGAGATGGCTCAGTGGTTAAGAGAACTGACTGCTCTTCCAGAGGTCCTGAATTCAATTCCCAGCAGCCACATGGTAGCTCACAACCATTTTTAAGGCTGCCTTATGCCCTCTTCTGGCATGCAGGCATATATGAAGATAGACGACTCATACCTTAAAGAATAATTAAGTAAATAAACAAAATTTTAAAAGGAGATTATCAACTAGAAAGTCCAAGAGAAAAGATTACAAAGCAGCTATTTCTCTCTGTGCTTCCAAGAGAAGGACATCTCCCAACATGTCCCCCACAGAACTGAGGACCCCTGCCCCCCAAGAAACAAAGCTTCAGACACAGCCTCTTCTCCAGCTCCTACGCTTCTCCAGGAGCCATAAGGAGAGTGTCCTCAATGGTGATATCGGCAGGTAGGGACACCTACACACAAGGAGCAACAAGAAGCTACCAGAAAAAGCAGGAAGGCGTCTGCCCTGAGACATAAAAGCAGGGCAAAAGAATTGCTTGTGATGCTGACAGAGTCACCTGGCACAAAGGGTCCATCAAAAGCACCCAAGGGGCTCTGCCAAAGACACAGACGGCTGCTGGAGGACGCTGCACAGTCAACTCCTCCACCTACGCCTGCCCACCACACTCAGAGCAGTGAGTCACTGGCTCACAGTCTTAAGCTGCATGGAGGACACCTGAGAACCAGTATTTTTGGTTTTGTTTTGAGACAGGTTCCTATCACGTAGCCCAAGCAGACCTAGGACTCACCATGTAGCTCATGCCAATCCCTCTGCCTCCTGTTTCAGAGCCAGCACAGACCTCCTCAGACAGACAGAATGAATGAATCACCAGAAATAACTGGCTCTGACTGACAGCTTCATTCCTCTCCTGCCACTTTCCACTCCCTCTCTCTCTTTTTTTTTTCCTAGACAGCGTTTCTCTGTATAGTTTTGGAGCCTGTGCTGGAACTCACTCTAAAGACCAGGCTGGCCTTGAACTCACAGAGATTTTGCCTCCCAAGTGCTGGGATTAAAGTCTCGCACCACCATCACCTGGCCAGAAATCATATTTTAAGAGACTATATATTTAATAACTTTTAAAATGTATTTTTTATTTTGTGCGTGTGTAGGGGCAGGGCACAGACACGTGACACTGCTCATATATGGAGTCCAGCATATGGGTTCCCAGAATTGAACTCATGTTGTGAGAAGCCACTTTCCCCCACTGAACCTTCAGCCAGATCCTGTAAACTTTTTTTTTTGAGATGGGACTCACTATGCAGCCGTCGCTAACCTGGAACTCACTCACTATACAGAGTAGGCTAGCCTCATTTCAGAGAGGTCTGTCCATCTGCCTCTGATTTCCATGTGCTGGAATTAAAGACATGCGCAACCATAACCATTTTTGTTTGGTTTGGGATTGTTTTTTAGACAGGGTCTCTAATATCCCAGGTGCTCAAAATCACCCTGCACTCCTGGTCCTCTTGCCTCCATCTTCTGAGTGCTCAGAATATAGTCACGTGCTACCTACCAAACCCATGTGTGTGGTCCTGGGGATTGAAACCAGGGCACCCCAAATGCTGGGTAAGCACCCTACCAACGGAGCCATATAAACCCATCATAAGTTATTTCTTTGATGATTCCATCAGCTGGGCACAGCAATCTACTGACATCTATGACAAACACACGGGATGGGCAGCAGAGTGTCCAGGACTGGCCTCTGCATGAAACTTTGGGCTCAGGGACCACAAAGAGTCTGGTCAAATGCCACCCGCCCTATATGGTGTGGCTTCTTATACCTGGACGCGCCCCCCCTCCCCAAGGCACACCCCTGCCCCATATGCTTCACTCACCTCGATTTTATCAGTCTTGGCATCCCCCCAATACAGCTTGCCCTCCTGCAGATCCAAAGCCAGTCCATTGGGCCACCCAAGGGAGGTGTTCACCAGGACATGCCGATCTCGCCCATCCAGGTTGGCACACTCAATTTTGGGGTTCTCACCCCAATCTGTCCAGTACATAAGGCTAGAGGGAAAAAAAAAAAAAAACAAATGACCATGATGGTGTCTGTTCTGCCCCTGATACACCCTAGTTCAGAGGACCACATCTCCACCAGCCTGCAAGCCAACATAGCCTACAGCTCGATAGTAACATCAGGACACCCCCACAGCACAGGGTAGCACTGGGCTCCCAGGGGCTGCAGGCTCAGCTTCTTCCCCACAGGAGAGCTCTGGAAGTGACCCTGCACAGGGTCGGGGGCAGCCTTGTCCAGAGCATCAGGGAGCAGGACAGTGGGGAGCCTTCTATGAACAGCAGCAAAGCTCACATATACTCAGGATGTGTGACCTGTGCTCAACTCAAGGATAACACTGAAGGGAAGCAGAGGGCAGAAGTTTGTTGATTTGTTTGGTTTTTGGTTTTAAGACAGGATTCTTTGTCTAGCTTTGGCTGATTTAGAAATAGCTCTATAGATCAGGCAGAGATCCACCTGCCTTTGTCTCCTGAGTGATGGGATTAAAGGCAAGTGCCACCATCGCCTGGTGAGGACAGAAGATTTTTTGTTTTTTTCTTTCGGGTTTTTGAGACAGGGTTTCTCTGTGTATTTGGAGGCTGTCCTGGAAATAGCTCTTGTAAACCACACTGGTTTCGAACTCACAAAGATCTGACTGCCTCTGCCTCCCGAGTGCTGGGAATAAAGGTGTGCGCCACCACCACCCGAGGACAGAAGTTTTAATGCAAGAAAATCCAGGCCACTCTGAGTTCAGGACATGGCCTTGTATCCTGCCAGGTCTGACAAGTCTCCTGGTTCCCTCTGTCTGAAACACTCTTCTTTGGGATCATACACACTTCCCTGGCTGCCACACTTCCCTGGAACCGCAGGCTCAGAAGACACAAGCTGGTAAAGAGCCTGGTATCGGCTTCCCACCTGACTTCACACATGAGAACACTGTGGTCCATGGGGCTGTGACTCCACTGAGTTCGTGGTGCTGTAGCTGGGAAGAGGTCCTAAGCTGACTACCAGATCCCTGCCTCTGAGAGCTTCAGTTAGCCCAGAGCTCCTCGTATCCAGACTCATTGGGAACAACACTGTTCTTTGGCCACTACCACAGAGCAAATTCTTCTGCCTACTATTGGGCCCAGGGTCACTGAAGGACTACTCCTGCCTTGAACACACTCCATTATCAGCCGCTGCCCATAAGGCCCTACTACCCACCCTGCTTCTAGATCTCCACACATAAGCCCTCCAATCTCTCTGCTTATACGGCCCCACAGGCAGGCCGGACACAGCCCTGACACCAGTACCTGGAGGCATCTGCAGTGCCTGCTATGCTCATTCTGTGAAAGAACTTACAGTGATCAGAAGACTACAGCTGTTACTCTAGACCAATGGCTGCCCTCAGGACACAGGTCCACACCCTTCACTAAGCAGACTCTTCTGGCCCCATCCCAGCATCACCCCCAGAGCTTCATGACAGCCTCCCCATCAAGGTCTGCTCAGATAAAGTTCTAGCTCAGGAACCCTCTTCACCACTAGGCACAGATGCTATGTTCTCAGAGGCTCCAGCCCAGCCATGTCCACTTGGCATTTATATGGGTTTCTAGGGGCCAAAAACGCTCATCCTCATATCTGCACAGCCAGCACTTACCTGCTAAGCAATCTCCTGAGCTGCATCCCAGTATTTTGGTGGTTTTTGTTTGTTTGTTTTTTAATGTGGATTCTCAGGATCAACTTGTGTCCGTACACTTCCAAGACAGAAACCTTACCGACCAAACCATCGCCCAGCCCTCCAAGCTCTCTCACCCACTACCTAATGGCCTGGCCCAAACTCCTCAAAGTCAAAGACCAGCTGCCTCAGCAGCACTGGGAGCACCGGTCACTGGCTCAGGACTCTCTGCATATTAATAAGCATATTTCAGGGGTGGGGTACAAGGGAATGTTCCAAAGCCCACCTATAGTCCCAGTCTTACCCCATCACAGGGTGCAACACAATGGCCCGAGGTTCATCCAGGTCCTCAGATACCAGGATCTTTCGGGAGGTGCCATTGAGGCGAGTCACCTCAATCCGGTCAGTGCCTGTATCTGTCCAGTAGAGGTTCCGGGCGACCCAGTCCACAGCAATGCCATCGGGGTCATTGATCTCTGTGTTCACAAGTGTCTGTGCGCCTGACCCATCCAGATACGCCCTGCGGATAGCCCGCACCTCATCATCTGTCCAGTACACGTAGCCCTCCAGCGGGTCATAGTCGATGGCAATGGCATGACGGATGTCGCCCACCTGCAGCACTATGTCCGTGAAGTCAGGTGTGTCCAGAGAAATCCTTCTCAGGTCTGTCCTCCGGGCCAGCAGCAGCACTTCCTCAGCCCCTATGGAGACATAAGCAGTGAGGTCAGAGGTCAGTCGCTATGGCTGAAGCAACACAAGACACTAGACTTGCAGTGAGGGAATCCAGGCATGTCTCAGCCAGGCCCTCAGACCACGATAGCGGCTGAGCGGCTGGCTCTGTGAGGCTGACGCTGTGTTTTCCTGGTTTTACAGAAGATAACACTGAAGAGAGGCTGAAGAATCAGCCAGAAGTCCTCTAGCCAGGCCATCTGCTTCCACTAGCGTGAGAGCTGTTTTGCTAGCCCTCTTGTCCCTATCTCCACCACAGCCAGCCTCTGTGAAAAATCCCACTAGAAGCACAGGGCTCCAGACCCCAATTGCCAGTCCCACTCTCCTCATCCATCCAACTACAAAACAGCTTTAAACAGGTACTCTTGTCTTGTTCTGTCACCCAGCTCCCAGCCAGGGACAGGAATCTGTGTCAAAGGACCTGTACCCAGTTCTGACATTCACAGTGCTGGATGGAAGGAGCCTGGGTCCAAAGCTCAGACATCCTCCTGGACACCTGCTGTACAAGCACACAACCACTGACACAAAATGTAAGATAAAAAGCACCTCCGGAGTGAGGCGTCTGCTCTCCCGAGCACAGCATGGCCACTGTGGCCTCTGCAGAGCAGGGCCTTGAGAAAGGCTGCTTTCTAAACAGAGTCTATAGACGTGGGTCTCACAGGAGACAGGCAAGGAATACACTTCCAATGTATCTCAGAGCCACTGTGAATTGTCAAAAGTCAACTTGGCACTAGACACTGAGAACCTGTGGACAGTAGAGAATGACACTTTGGGGCCTTTGTCTCAGTGAAGAGAGCCTCAGGTATATTAGCAGGAGTGTCCTCCCAAATCTCCTTTCAAATATGAGCTAATGCCAGGCTCTGTGGTCCCAGGACCACCATCCCTAACCGCTCTGGCTGCTTGGTGAAGCTCAGATCTTTACAGCTTCCTATATAACAGCTTCCTATGCAAGACTTGGGAAACTGAGGCACCAGGTGAAGAAGTGAGGCAAAGTAGCAAGTGTGGGAACCCTAAATGCCCAATAGCAACAGGGCCCGTGATTCATATCCAGGCTGCTTGAGAAAGGTACATGCTGGGGGAAAGAACAGAATTTGGAACTTCAACAGATTTTCCTGCTCTGGGTTCCATTCCCAACATGTTCTGTCAACAACTGGGCTGTCCTTCAAGGCCCAGGTTACGCACCACCTTCTGAATTTTGGGCCTCTGTGGACAGGCCGGCAATATGCTCACTCCACAGTCTCACAGGGACTGGTATGGGCCCTTTTGTACAATGCTGTTTCCATAACCTGGTTCAAATCAACACGGAGACACAGCCGTGGGGCAGAACCCACCTGGTATGAGCATCTGGTGGGACCCAGTCTCTGGGCTTATTTCTTCATAGGCCTGGTGGTGCTTGAGTCACTTTCTGGCTCTACTACTGAGCCAGATGTCAAAAGGCTTAGTCAACATGATGGATAAGAGATGTCAGCTTGTAGAAGATTCCCAGGAAGGACCATAACCGTCAGGGCCTCTGTATGGGACAGACAGTTTATGACAACTGTCCCCTGGCTTCTACAGTACTCCCATGGAATACCTCAGGAAGCACTGATCCACAGTGGAAACTGACTCTTGTTCCCAAAAGCCACATTTGAACCTGATTTGCTAATCCTGTCCCCACAATCCTAATGTAGTCACCTAAATGAGGCCCATCTTCACATCAGGTATGACTATGCCATGAAGTACGTACAGGTGAGGAACCTAGTACACAGAGAGGCCAAGCTCCTGTCCCAAGGGCCACACAGCAAGAAGGAAGATAAGATCCCTTGAACCACCTAAGTAGTGAGTACAAGAAATCTGTCAGTAGCATTCAGGCCAGCTCGGTCACACCACCAGTATCTATGGATAGCTACTTTAGCCCCAGCCAAGACCAGCTATCACCAAGGAAGAGGTGGGAACAACAGACTCATGCACCCTTTTACACTCCCAGGGGCACAGAGACCATAAAGAACAAGACCAACAAAGAACCAACTATCTCAAACTTTAGCCATGAAACACAACCAGAGAGTAGGGGAGAGGGGCTGTGGAGGATTGAAGGGCTGCCCTCTACCATTACATGGAAGAGTCCTGCCCCCAAGGACTCCAGATAGGCCCTCACTCTCTGAGAATTAAGTCAACACAAAGTCCTAAGCAACAGGAACTCCTCCCAGCCACCCAAGAAAGACTGTGAATTAAGTCTCAGCAACTACAGCAGTAAGTCATTGCTGAGATAACCCTGGGGCTGTCAAGTGTCCCCATCATGATGAGTAGTGGGTTCTCTGCAACCCTGTGGCTGCACAGCGTTTTGCCAAGAAAACAAAACATAAAAGGGATGCCACATCCCAGCCATGTACCCAAGGTATGAGGGCTTCTGGCTGGGTTCAGTACACAGGTTTCCAGAGCTAGTAATGGAAGGCTCTGACCAAGGCCAGGCCAGCAAAGAGCAGCTGCAGAGGAACCTCCTATCAATGTTTGCCAAGGCCGATGCCCATGGCTGGCCTCTGAGAAGGTGCTGAAGACCTGAGACAGGCTAGGTGGACAAGGGGCAGTGCCATGAAGAGGAGAGGCCTGCCTACTGCTTGGTACCTACAGGGCCAATAAATAAATTTGTTTAAACATCAAGAAGCAGTTCAGTAACTAAAAGTTTGACCAAATGCTTGCTTTTTAAAATTCCCTTTCTTTCTGCTCAGGTGGTAAGGATTGGTGGCAAGGTCCTTACCAAAAGTAAAACCTTCCCCTCTCTGGGGCACTGGCAGCCACTGAACTGGCTGTATGGACACCTGTCTTCTCTACTTCCTCCAGGAACACACAGAACACATTCCCACCGCAGGGCAGGTGTCAGGTACAGGGCACAGGCTTCACACCCTAATCTGTGATTTTAACAAGTTTATTCTTTCCCAGACCGAGGGGTTCAGAAGTCAAGAGTCTAGGTGCAGCAGGGCCAGCTTTCTCCCTGGGCTCCAAGGGAGGGTCCTTCCTGTCTCCTTCAGGCCTGGTGTTGCCGGAAATACTTGTCGTTCCTTGGTTCATTGCCAATCACTCTGATCCCCGCCTCCAGCTTCGCACAGCCAGCTGCCCTGTGTGTCTCTATGGCCTCGTCACAGAAGGCCACTGCTATGTCCACCATGCCTCAACTTCATTTGAGTAGCTCAAAAGAAGCACAGTGTCCAAACTAGGTCACAAACAAGGTTGTGTAGGAAGCTCCAGGAGGAGGCCCGGGGCCATGCTGAAAGGAGGCAACTCCAAGCAGAAGGGACAGCTGGACAATGACACAGAGATCACTAGGAAGCAGGGGTAGGCAATACAGGCTATTAAGTATAAGCTGAGTTCAGAGGCCAGAATGTTTGCTATTAAGGTAGGGGATGAAATCCCTTGGGCCATACTCTACCGAGAACCCACCACACATAGTGGGCCATACTCTACCAAACCCAGCCTGTCCTTAAGGGAGCCACAAGCAAAGAGCACGCTCTGCATGCAGCAGGATTCCAACTACAGACACAGACAGCAGGACAGACTATCACCCTCAGACAAAAGCCCAGAAGGAAACAGGCTCATTGTTCCACAGGGCTATCTGGGGTTCTCTAATAAGGTTGACAAATATTTTGCATTAGTGGCCAGGGAGAGCCAAACATCAAGCAAAGAGCCTAGTCCTGGACAGTGCTGAAATGAGAGTACAGGGCTGCGCACAAACAAAATCTCACTTATGAACATTGCTGCCTGAGCTGTGTAGTCACAGAGCATAATTCTTCTAATGCTCTTCTTATCTGTGTAGAAAAGGAAGTGTCATCCTGAGCCCGCAGGCTGTAGGGAAACCTGCAGTGGGCCCTGTGGCCACTGGCTGGAGAGAGTTAATCCTTGTAAAAGAAGTACGAGTTGGGGCAAGCAAGATGGCACAGTGGGTAAAAAGCACTTGATAAGCAAGCCTAAAGGTTCAATTCCTGGAACCCATGTAAATGTGGAAGGGAAGAACAAATGTGTACCATGGGTGCCATGGTTTACATGGGCACATACAATTAAAAAAAAATTAGAGGCCAGAGAGATGGTTCAGTGGTTACGAGCACTTGTTGGTGTGTGCTCAGTTCTCCAAATCCACACAGCAGATCACAATGACAAGAAACTCTAGTTCCAGGGGATCCTGATGCCATCCTCTGGCCTCCATCGTCACTGTGCGCACATGGTGCACATACAGGCAGGCAAACACTCATACACATAAAATCCTTTAAGAAGAACAAAGATGGGAGGGAGGGAGGGAGGGAGGGGGAGGGGAGAGAAGAAATAATTCATTTTAAATCAGAGGCCATTCATGGCTCTGGGTGTTACCCAGACACAGAACACCAGGCCCTGGAGAAGTTATGGACTTGAATATACACACATGGAAGAGACGAAAACCATGCCAACCATATGGCTCAGCAGGTGAAGGTGCCTGCCACCAAGCCTGATGACCTAGTACAATCTCCAGGACCCATGTGGTGGGAGGAGAGAACCAACTCCTTTGTGCTGTCCTCTGACCTCCACATGTACACCGTGGCACATATGCACATACAAAAATAAATAAAATAATAAACAAAAATACCCAATAAAAACTTTTTAGAGAAAAAGTAGAAAACGTAAACCTGTTTCAAGTAGCTTCACCAAGACGGCAGGATTCTGGATCATTTAACCTGTTTACCAGGCTGGAGAGACTGCTCAGTAGTTAAGAGCATCTGCTGCTCTTGCAGAAGACCTGGATTGAGTTCCCAGTACCCACATGGTGGCTCACAAACACACGTTGCTCTAGTTCCAGGGGGTCAGACACCCTCTTCTTGCCTCTGTAGGCACCAAGGATGCACATGTACACACACATGTAGGGAAAAAAGAAAAAAGACACTCATACACATAAATAATACCTTTTAAATTGTCTTTCTGGTCGAATTGATAGTTTCCTGTCTGTGGTAATCATAATTCTGTCGGGTAGAGC